ATAATGCCATTTTCATTTTTTATTTTCTTAACACTCAAAATTACTTTTGCTTCACCCAGGTCTTTCATATCAAAATTAGAAGCAAGGAAATGTTTAGTTTCAAACACAACATCTAGGCTAGTACCAAAGATAAGCATGTCATCCACATACAAACAAAAAACCACACAGTCATTGTTCACAAGTTTGGTATATACACACCTTTCTAGCTCAACAATAGAGAAACCACAATTAGTTAAGACTTGTTCCAATTTTTCATACCACAGTTTAGGTGCTTGTTTCAAACCATATAAGGATTTCACAAGTTTACAATGTTTTCTTGCCCAGGAGCAACACACCCTTCAAGTTGTACCATATAAATCTCTTCTTCTAAATCACCATTTAGAAAATTCGATTTAACATCCAATTGGTAGATAAAAAGCTTATAAACCAAAGCTAAAGCAATAAGAATTCTTATGGAAGAAATTCTCATTACCGAAGAAAAGGTATCAAAATAATTAACTTTTTTTTTTTTAGTAAAAGCTGTTGCTACTAGCCTTACTTTATACTTATTGATAGAACCATTAGAAAAATATTTTTTTTCTTAAAAACCCGTTTGTAATCAATTGGTTTTGCTCCTAGAGGCAAATCAACTAAAACCCAAGCTTTGTTTTGTTTAGAGAATCAATTTCAGCTTGAATTGATTCTTTCCAAAAAGATGCATCCAGAGAAGAGGTCAGCTCATAAAAGTTTATGGGTTCATCTTGTACTAAATAAGTGTAGGAATCATCCCTAAAGGAGATTTCTTTTCTTTGCCTCTTACTCTTTTTTTTTTTGTAAGCTTTCTGCTACATTTTTGTTTGAATTTTCCTCAGAAGAATTTTCAACAACTTTAGAAATACGTCCAGCTTTCAAAGGAAAAATATGTTGAAAAAACTTTGCATTTTAGTTTTAATAGTGGTGTTTTAACCCAAAACATCACTTTTTAAAACTATAAAATGATAAGCTGTACTTTGCTGGGCATATCTGATAAACAAATAATCAATAGTTTTAGAACCTATTTTTTGCTTTTTAGAGTCACGTATTAAAATCTTTACAAGGAACCCCCACAATTTTAAATAATTAAGATTTGGTGCAAAACCTTTCCATGACTCATGACGAGTCTTATTTGTTTTCCTATGGGATATTCTATTTTGTAAAAAATAACCAGACAAAATGGCTTCACCCCATAAGTTATTTGGTGTAGCAGAGCTTATAAGTAAATAATTCATCATTTCTTTTAAAGTTCTATTTTTTCTTTTCCACAACACCATTTGACTCTTATGAATATAGAGGGGTCACTTCATGAATAATTCCCTCTTTTTTGACAAAAATCATTTAATTGCGAAAATTCTCCTCCTCTATTAGATCTAACTTGTTTATTCTTTCTTTCTAATTGATTTTCTACTTTAGCTTTATAAGAAAGGAATTTTTCAAAAGCCTCATCTTTATTTCTTAACAAATATAATTTTGTATTCCTTGAAAAATGATTAATAAAAGTTACATAATATTTTTTACCACCTCTAATCTCTTTTTGTTTCAAGTCACCTAAATCGATGTGTATTAAGGATAACAATTTAGTTTCTCATAGTAGAAAAATATGAATTTTTAGTTTCTTTTGTTTTTGCACATACTTTGCACTTATTAAAAACATTATTTTTAATTCCTGATATTAGCCCAAGATGATAAAGCCTTTTTATATAGGATTTACTTATGCATGTCCTAATCTAGCATGCCACACATCAAAAGAATCAATGTAAAACACAGGCAAGAAAGTAGAAGGTGCATTATCATTCATTTCAGCAATGGTTAGTACAAACAATCCCTAATTACAGTAACCCTTTCCAACGAGAACATTATTCTTTATCATTACGATCTTATCATACTCAAATGACATCTTAACGCTAGATTTCCTAACAAAGCTATAGAGATCATATTAGCTCTAACATCAGGTATATACAGAACATATTTAGTGCTAAGGTCTTTTTACATGTGAGTTTTAGGACAACTTTTCCTTTTCCTAGAACTTTGGTGGTTCTGGACTTAGCTAGATAGATATGATCTTCTCCTTCTTTAAAGGAGGTGCCTGGTAGCATCTAAGTCTACCACTCACTTTTTCACATTAGAGATCACAAGGGTTGGGGAGACAACAACAATAATCTCATCATTATCAACCAAATTCACATTTAGCTTAGGAGGATTTCCACCCTTATGATTACTGTTTTTACCAACCTTTTTCCCGCACTGAGCTACATGGTGACCTGGCTTTCCACAAAAAAGCAATTTCTTTTCTTCTTGAATTTGAGGTTAGAATCATCGGGCTTGTAATCAAAGTTTTTATTTCTAGTTTTAGGGTTATACCTCTTTTCATGTAGATTTACTTCTAACAGATTAGAGCCTTTGTTGCCAACTCTTTTTCTTTAGTTGTCTAGATTACTTTCTAGCTTGTGTCCTCGATCATGGTGTATGTAATTAGGTCTGATAGTGACAATTGCTTTTGCTTGTGCTTTAGTTGTTGTTTATAATCATTCCACAAATTTGGCAGCTTCTCGATGAAGACCTCAGCTATGAACTCATCTGGCAAATTGATCTTCTCAGCTCGGAGCTCTTCCAGAAGCTTATGGTATTCATTGATTTGAATTTTTATATCTTTATCATCATCCATCTTCTATCTATAAAAGTTTCCCACCATAAAATTTTGCTTCCCAGCATTCTCAATAGTATACTTCACGATCAGTGACTCTAGTACCTTATATGCCTCCTTGTACACACAATAGACATCGAACAAATCATTAGATAAAGTGCTAATGAGAGTGTGTTAGCAAACCTTATTTGCATTCGTCCAAGTATTCTTCTAGGCTTGTTCAGCATCTACAGGAGGCTTAGGCTGGGTTAGAGTAGTAGCAACTCCATGCAAGTTAAGAATAGTGTACACACGTTCCTGCCACCATCTAAAGTGCTTTCCAATCAAACACATCAATTTTGGAGACCTCTAGAAATGGTTTGGGAAGCAGCACCGTAGTGAAGAAGGAAGCATGAGCAACATTGATGTTAGGATTAGTATTCCAAGTAGCAGCATCATTATGGGACTCCATAATAACTCTTAAGATTGTTGAAAGATCATTGAAATAACTAGATAGTGAACTAGTTCGAGTCATGGTAGTAGACACTGTCCTTAAGATTTATTCCAACGCCTTAGGTAAATGTAGATACGACACTCTCCACGATTAAACAAGCCTCTCCTGCAGCAAACAGGATGACAGAATAGCAGAAATACAGGTATAACTCAGTAGCAAAGAAATGAGAGGAGAAAATTACAAGGGAGAGGATGAATGCTTGAAAGCTTAAGCGTAGTGTCTCAAACACTCTGTTTTGAACTCCTTTATATAGGCCACAAAGCATTTGAACGTTGGACACCACACTTGTGACAATAAACATGATTAAATCTTTGGTTTCAAATGTTGGCACAATAACACACTATTTACACCTTTGCTTATGAATGTTAGAGGCACTTAAAATTGAAATTTTGGACGTTGGCAAGCATTAACCCATGGAAAATGGTCTGAGGACTAATGAAGGAATAATCTTGATTTAATTAGAAATAAAACTTTAACATTCAATAACCTTCGGCTAATAAAAATAAACTAACAAAACAAAGATTTTCCTTAATTGGCGCACCAAGAGGGGATCGCTAGTTTTCAATTGCGTTTCCCCTTGGTGGGCTGTTGTCATGTGCGCGAGATTCTTCTTCTCCTCTAGGCCCATCCGCTAGCCCAATAATATTTATATTCACTTGAACCTCCTCTCTCGAGCAATGTGGGACTTTACTTTTGACACATCCACTTATATTCACAACATCATATGCATTTCAACTACCTCTTAAGAGAAACTCCCTAACATATGTAATAATCATAGAGATTCTTGGGAATAAAATGAATAAATATTGAAAATAAAATGAATTGGGATCTTATGTTTATAACTAAATTGAACCTCCAACTAATTATTATATCAAGTACAGCATGTAGCAGAAAAACAAAGATACAGGAGGAGAGGAACATGAGTGGTGATATAATATCTCTTACATTGAAATTGCAAAATTATAGTAAGTGAACATAATATCAATAATTACTGATAGTTTTTTTTTTCAAATAAAATTTCAGCAATTTTACTCCGATTTAAAAATAAAATCATGAATTGAATCTTTTGAGAAACTTTGTGAACTATTCTTAGTCAAAAGATTACTCGAGATAATTGTGAGATTTTTCCACAAAAGGGATGTACGGACTTAGATTTGAAAAATTTATGTAATATGCAAAGAGCCATAAAGAAAAGACCGTACGTGTTTGTTAGGAAAGGAACAAAATAGGGAAAACCAAAAAAGCATCCTCGACATGGAACTACAATACTGGCCCGGATTATTCTCAGACGTTAAACTACGGAAATTTTAATGAAATTTATGGATGCAATACAAGTAGGTGGATGGGAAGGACACGGAATTTCGTTTTCTTAATTTCTTTTGACCACTTGACTGAGATATGAAAAGATGTGGTGGTCAAAAAGAACAATGAAAAGATGTGGTGGTCAAAAAGAAATATGAAAGCATGATATGAGAACATGTTTGAATAGGATTCAAACATGTTCGATTTCTTTAAAATCTATTTTCAATAATGCCATCGCAGGCCCCCACCATCCCTTTTATAATCAATCTGTGTTTTGAATTGACTAATAAATTAAGGGTTGTTAATGTTATTTTAAAAAAATGGGTTGTTAAACAACTAACTTCCTGTTTTTTTATAATCAATTTGTCTTCTTATTTCATGCCGCGTCCACTTAATATAAAAATTACTAAACTAATTTGGATTGATTGAAAAAGTAAGATAAATAAGCTACTTATAGTAAATATGACATAATCTCCCTAAAATAATCCTGTCTACTTATAAATGCGACGAGGAGCATTTTGAATTTTGGCTTCATTACTAGTTATCATGGGAAACCTTATCTTTCATTTCTCCTTCATGCTCTTCATGCTTTATCTCATGGTTTGCCCATCTTTATGTCACTCCAATTTTTCTTGCGATGAATTGGCGCTTTTGGCTCTCAAATCTTCTGTTAGGGATCCTTACCATCGCTTGGAAAACTGGTCCAGTTCCTCTTCCATATGCAATTGGTCTGGGGTTACATGTGATTCTAGGCATAAGAGAGTTAGAATACTGAGTCTTGCTAAAATGGATCTCAACGGCACCTTACCGTCGCAGCTTGGCGATATGTCCTTCCTTGTAAAACTTGATCTCAACAGCAACAATTTGTATGGTAAGTTGCCAAAAGAGTTGTTTCAGTTGCAGAGGTTAGAAATTCTGAACCTAAGCTATAATGCATTCAGTGGAGAAATCCCAAGTTGGATAGGAAGCTTATTTAATCTTCAACACTTGATTCTTGGCAATAATAGTTTTGGAAGTATCATTCCTCCAAGTATATCCAATTTGTCTATGTTGGAGACCTTGGATTTGAGCTCTAATTCTCTCCAAGGATCTATTCCGTTTCATATTGGAAGGCTTCAGCATCTCAAAACTTTGCGCCTTTCTGTGAACAAGCTTTCAGGAATCATACCTCCACCTATTTCTAATATATCCTCACTTGAGCGCATCTCTCTGTCTGTCAACGTCCTACAAGGTATGCCTTGCATAATTAATACTCATCTCGTCCTTAATGTAAAACCTATTTAACTAATTTGATTACATTAAAGAAGTCAGATAAATTAGTTAATTATAAGAAATGTGACGTATTTTCCTAAAACACCATAATAATTGTTCTTAATATCTTCTCTCTCCTTCCTACTTGATTATGGTTGAATGAATATCAATAGTAGTTTAAAAAAAATGATAAATATGAAAAATATGTCTTGTATTTAATACCAATGTTAACTCAACAATTAAATCCTATACTAAAGATAGGAAGAGTATGTAATATAAAGCATTTATTCGGTTTCAAAATTCATAGAACGTTGTCTTCTTCAACATTCATTTCACACCATTCTGTTTATTATATCAACCACAGTTCATTCCCTTTCCTTTAAGTTACAAATGAGTTAATATGAAGAGGGGGGAAAAAAGAGTACTGTACTGTAGCGATCATGTAATTTTCTGTCGTATTGCAGGACCTATTCCCATAGAAATGAATAAGCTCACAAAGCTGAAAATTATATACTTGGAAGATAATAAGTTGACTGGCCAAATACCAAGAAGTATTGGAAGCTTGATCATGCTTCAAGAATTATATCTTTCAACCAATAACTTACAAGGTAGCGTAAAATTTTTAACTCATCATAATTTGTCACCATGTTTTTCTTTTCCTTTTAAGGATTTTCTCTATGCATGTCTTTTTTCTTTTTCCTTACTTTTTTTGCCAACAACTCTGCACATGCGTCATTAGGAGCAAATATACATTGATCTTCTTTAATAATATGTGGGAGTTAAAATATATTTATTTAAATGACAATAAATTTTGGTGATCAGCATCCCTTGAAATACATGTCAAGTTGGATGCTAGAATGCAAGGAATTGGGGTAATTATTGACCTTCTATTAGATTTACTAGACAGAATGAGCTTGAATGCTCATCAAGTTGAACATCCCAAGCTCATTAGATATTGGCCATTCATATCTGAATTGGACAGTCCAGATGTGATGATTTTTTTGTTCTTGTTCTTAAAAAATAATTGTTTTGATTGGTATAGAATCTAAATAAAGGTAATCTCTTAACTATTATTTTTTTAAAAATAATTAATTAAAAATTTTAAATCTAGCAAATTTGATGAGTTTAGGGTGTTCATTACCTTTAAGCACCTAAACTGGTTCCTTTAGTGGACACACCTCTGGTGACATTCCAAATTTGACTATACCTGGTTATGTATTAAGAAATTTAATAGATAATTAAACAAATTCCTCCCTCCCACAAAAAATATAAATGATAAACAATATTAAAAAGCAGTGTGCATATATATAACTAAATATCTCTTCACTATCACAAAATAGTTATTAAATTACAAGATTCACATGCCCTCACCTTTGTACAGATCATGAACTATCATAAATTTACATATAGAAACTCAATGTCTCTTATATTGGTCATACTGCAGGAGATATTCCCAAGGAAATTAGCAATCTTACAAATGCTAACAAAATATACTTGGATAACAATCACTTGTCTGGTCACATACCAAAAGGCATTGGAAAATTGACTATGCTTCAAGAGCTATCTCTTGCCAACAATAACTTTGAAGGTACGTGTGTGTGTGTGTGTGTGTGTGTGTGTGTGTGTGTGTGTGTGTGTGTGTGATTTTGTCAAACTGTGAGCGCTCTCCAGTTTTCTTCAAGAGTTAGTGCTTCTGTAACATACTTCCTCTGATCCTATATATAAGATATAAACAACTAAATTATGTAGATAATAAAGTTGGTTAAAAATGATTGACGATAATAAGTATGTAAAAAAATATTTTTTATTTTTGAGAAATTCCTTATTTATGGTGAGAGTAAAATGAGAGATAGAGAATGAGCAGAAAAATGAGGTTTTTTTTTTTTTTTTTGCTTGCAGGAAATATTCCCATTGAAATTAGAAGCCTTACAAATCTGAAAATTATAGACCTGTCAGTTAATCAACTATTTGGCCATATACCAAGAGGCATTGGAAACTTGACTATGCTTCAAGATTTAAATCTTGAAATCAATAATTTGGAAGGTACCTTTCCACCCCCAATATAATGTGCTATTATCATTTTTATATTAATATGATATTCTAGGCGTTAGCATCATATCAATAGTGCTTTTCCTTCTTTTCTTCCCCCCCCCCCCCAATAATGCAAGATATGTTCATTTATGAATATTTTTTGGGGACTATAATATTAGGACTACTTTTCAATAGTTATATTTCTTGTAAGAGATATAATGGCTGCATGACCAAGACATTGACAACATATATACAGTACTAATTAAGTAATAACAAAATGAGTAGCATATTGTTCCACGAGAAAACAATTAAGTATAGTAAGCATACAAGTTGTGCATTAATTGGTGACAAGTGGCTGGTGTAGAATATTCACTTTCTACGTCCGTTATACAAAGAAATCAACATGTTGGCAACATAAAAGTTTTTTTTTTAATTCATAAAAGGTATTATTTTTAATATGTCATCATTTGCTTTCTTATTAAACTACTCTGCAATTAACCAACAATAAAGCTAGCATCTAGAACAAGCAACAGTAAAAACAAACAATATGCATCAAACCAGGAACCAGCAACAATAAAACATGCGTGTATACGAAAAAAAAACAATAAAACATATATGTTTTATTACAAAATCAATAACCAAAGACTAAAATAGTATGAGGTGAAGAAATCTGTAAATTATACTAAAAAAACCAATTATATTCTAAACCATATACAATATCCAGCAACTTAACTAATTGCATTTCACTAGTCGAATGCAATATTTTACTATACCAAGATCAGTTATTGTCCTCTTATACTCATGTTTGTAACGGTTGAATTCAATAGTTGTTCCCCACATAGCAACATATATCTATCTTTAAGATGTCATTTCATTCCCAGTATTCTCAAGATGAAATATATCAGGTTTTCTTCATCTCAGATCACTCGAACTGCTCTTTAAACCCATAACCCCCTATCGAGGGTCAAATTTCTACTTCTGACATCGGACACTTAGAGTGTTTATCCAATGCCACATTGAGCTCCACTTATTGGGTTCAGGAGGCCCAACAGGCTCACCATTAACCATATATTAACAGATCGACATTAGTGATAAAATTAGAGAACAATCACTCAATACTGATTATCGAAAATAGGAACATGACGTCTTAATAGCTAGACATTGTAATTCTATTCACAGCTTTAGTTTTTTTTAACTGCTTCAAACATTATTTTCACTGGCATTTCAACTAAAATTTGTATTCAGGTTCAATACCTATGGAAATAGGCAATCTTCAACAACTTGAAACGTTATTATTATCTCAAAACAAGTTGAACAAGTCTATTCCATCAGAAATTTTCAACATCTCAGCTTTGAAAGTCTTGTCTCTCTCAAACAATTCTCTATCAGGAAGTCTTCCATCAGATTTTGGATATGGCCTTCTTAATCTACAGAGTTTATATTTATGGGGCAACAAACTATCTGGAAGGATCCCAAATACTATATCCAATGCTTCCAAGTTAACCATTCTAGAATTAGAGCAAAATAATTTTGAAGGGGTTTTGCCAAGCACAATTGGGCATTTAAGATACTTAGAAAATCTGTGGGTGCATGATAACAATTTCTCCATAATAGATGATGATTCAAATTCTGAAACTGGCTTTTTTAGCTCGTTGTCAAATTGTAGACATTTGAAAACCCTAATTCTCTCAAAGAATCCATTGCAAATGAAACTTCCCAAGTCCATTGGAAATTTGTCTGATTCTCTACAGACACTGATGATTGACTTCTGCGGGATTAATGGTAGCATACCATTAGAAATTGGGAACCTGTCCAACTTGGTTCAACTATCTTTTGCTGGAAATGTTTTAAATGGATCAATTCCAACAACAATTAGCAACTTACAGGATCTTCAGTATTTGAATCTTGTGGGCAATGAGCTAGATGGCTTGATTGTTGATGAGCTTTGTGACGTTAGAACAATTGCATACTTATATTTATCTCAAAACAAATTTTCTGGAGCAGTGCCTTCTTGCTTAGGAAATCTTATGTCCCTGCGGGAGCTTTATTTGGGCTCCAATAAGTTGATCTCCGAGATACCTTCTTCCTTTTGGAATTTAACAGGCATATTGAAAGTAACCTATCTTCCAACAAGTTAGTTGGAAATCTTTCATCCAACATTGGGAACACGAAAGCTCTCATTCTATTAGATTTATCAAGAAATCATATTTCAGGCACCATTCCGACGACCATTGGTGGCTTGCAAAATTTGGAAGTTTTCTCCTTAGCACATAACATAATGCGAGGGACGATTCCGCGATCACTTGGGGATTTGCTAAGCTTAGTAAATCTAGACCTTTCCCAAAATAACTTGTCTGGTGAGATTCCTAAATCACTAGAGTCAATTACGTCCCTTAAGTTTGTCAACCTCTCATATAACGAACTACAAGGTGAGATCCCAAGTGACAGGGTCTTCAAAGATTTGACAGCTGAATCTTTCATGGTGAATAAAGCACTTTGTGGTGAGCCAAAAATGCAAGTGCCTACATGCAGAAAAGAGGAAAGAAAAAGGTCAATAGCAAAACTGATTTTGCTGAAATTTATACTACCCATGGTTTTGTCAACACTTTTGGTTGTTTCAGGCATTATCCTCTTTCAATGTAAACGAATGAATTCTAGGAATACCATAATGAAACAAGAGTTATCAGCTTTGGGAATGCCTAGAAGGATTTCATATTTTGAAATTTTGGATGCAACCAACAAATTTGATGAGAGTAACTTACTGGGAAGTGGAAGTTTTGGTTCTGTATTTAAAGGAAGGCTTTCAAATGGAACAATGGTTGCTTTTAAAATATTCAATTTTGATTCAGAAGCATCGTCAAAGAGCTTTGAACTGGAATGTGACACAATGCGTAATGCACGTCACCGCAATTTGGTGAAGATCATAAGTAGTTGTTCCAATGTTGATTTCAAGTGTTTGGTAATGGAGTTCATTCCCAATGGGAGTCTTGAAAAATGGTTATATTCTCATAACTATAGTTTGGATTTTCTGCAAAGGTTGAATATAATGATAAATGTTGCATCTGCTTTGGAATATCTCCATCATAGCTTGCCAACACCAATAGTCCACTGTGATTTGAAGCCAAGAAACATTTTGTTGGATGATAACATGGTTGCTCATGTGAGTGACTTTGGAATTGCAAAATTTCTAGACAAAGGAAAGTCTAGGACACTCACAGAGACAATACCTACAATTGGTTATGTTGCACCAGGTAATAATCCAACACCTTTGCTTCTTTTTTCCTTCAATATGAATAATCACGAATTCTTATATAACCAAAAAGCTTGGCTCTTGGGTATTTACTTCATTTTTAGTATATGTTTGTCATTCCTTGAGGCTTAATCTAAGATAAATATAACTTTTGATCTTTGAACTTTTTCTCAATTATTGATTCTGCCTTTAAACTTCAATCTGAAATAACTTAGAACAAGCCAATTCTTATGAATTTTTTTGACTCGAACTAGCCTAATCCTTGCAAATCTTTACAGCTCAATAAACTATAACGGCTGAATTGATTAAATTCTTATTTTGCAATTTGTTTTACGAGATAGTTGATTTTTTTTACTTGGTGGAATCAAATCATATGCAGAATATGGATCTCTTGGAATTGTCTCAACAAAAATTGATGTGTACAGCTTCGGAATAATACTAATGGAAGTATTCACAAGAAAAAGGCCAACAGAAGATATGTTTGTGGATGGCTTGAGCTTGAAGAGTTGGGTAAGTGAATCAATGTCGTCCCGTTCACTAACTCCAGTCATAGATTCCAATTTATTACAAGGAGATCATGATGAAAAATATATTGCCAATATTTTGACAACTACATCCACTATTCTTGAATTGGCCTTGAACTGTTGTGCCAACTTTTCACAAAGGCGTTGCAATATGTCAGAGGTTGTGGTATCATTAAACAAGATCAAGAACGTGTTTATTCAAACATGCCATTTAAAGAAATATTGAACCTATTTGCAATTAATTTGCATTACTGTCTATCTCTCATGTTTAGAAAATGCTGGATGCGATACCTAGTAAGAAATTAATGGAGATACACTGAAGCCAAATATATGAGCTGTAAATTTAATTTATTGTTTTTTTGGATGAGCTGTATTATATGGATTATGAGTGTTTTGATCAATGAGATGTAGGAATCCATATTCTCAAGGTCTCAGAGAAGGTACTGAAGTATTTATGTTCTCTCTCATCATTCCAGTATATTTAGTTCCCTAGCTCTTTTTTGAGGATGTTTCTTGATGCTACATTATATGGTGATTTTTTTTTTATATTTATAAATCCTTATTCGCATTATTATTTCATATTTTGATTATAATACTTTTTGCAAACAAATAACAAAGGTTATGGGAAAGCACTTATAAGTGAGTTTGACAATTTTGACGAGTTAAAAAATGTCATTCAACAACTTTTAAGTAATGTGCTTATCCCTACATTATATATATATATATAAAACTTTGTAATGCACCTACGTAATTGTTCTTTTTTTTTTTGTTGTGCGTGTGAATAAACAATAATAATATTATTTCTTTGAAAAAATACATGTTTTCTGTCAAACAAGATTTTTCCTATTAAAAAATTAATATAAAGGTTTATAAACCTGAAATCATTCACCATAATCAATATATTTTATCATATTATTGAGGTGATTGTAAATTTAAATTTTTTTAATGATTGCTAATTATTTTTTAGTTTTGCACTACTTCTGTCTCTTTATGCAAGTAAAACGCAGTTGTCAGACTCCTGGATGCCATCAAGTTCGTAGGTGTCTGCTTCTTTTCCTTCTTCTCGTTCCCGCCCTTAATCATTTATTGGGATGTATGGGTCATATATAATCAAAAAGTTGAATGTACAAGCCTTCTAATTGTACAATATGACTAACGTAAAATTTGTATGAGAAATGAAAGAAAACCGCTGTCCAGGAAAATCCCTCTGGTCTATTTTTTTTTTTTTTTAAAAAAAACATCATCTTGTAAATGAAAATACAATAGGTTGATTACTTCTGCTCCATGGAACCAGCCTCACGAAATAATTTCAACTATATGTAGAATTCTAACATGTAGGATTGTGTTCTCTATAGAGGCAAAACTAAGAATATTTATTGCAAAACTTATTACTTAGGCAAGTATTTCGAAAAGAGTCGCACATCGAGTATTATAAAAGAAACAAACCAGACGATAACACTCAAGAAGTCGACGCCGGCATGAAACTCAAATGGGGGTACTGAGATGATGGAATATGGCTTTGACAAAGGAACCAACTGCTGGAACCATCGCTTTTTTGTTCTGGCCACCTGCAATGTTATGATTAGTGAATATTTGAAACACTGAATATTGTTAGGAGTTTCTCAGGACATGGAGCGTTACACCATTTCATCATGGAAAACTGAAGTTGGAATATAAGAATGGTAGCCTCAAGTGTTACATGCCTTAATAGAAACCAATAAACTTAAGAAGCTAATCACATCAGGTTTTAGATAGATCACCCTTTATACCACTGGCCAGTTCTCACCTCCGATTCCAATTGAAGTAGTTGCTTCATCTTGTCATCAACTACTATTCGATGAATAGATGCCAAACAGTCGTTCTCAAACCCAAAAGACTCCAATGTAACACAGATCTTCACGTTCCATTATTATTGCGTTTGCTGATTCTGATTTTGAAAATCTCTTAACATGTCAGCTAAGGTTTTGTATTGATCCCTCTGTCCTTTTCTGTAAACCCCAGTTTTGAAATTCATCAATGCCAATGTCCTCTTTTCTTCCTTTTTCATTCTTTCCTATCCTACCCTTGTTCATTTTGTAGGAGTTGGCAAAAAAAAAAAAAAAAAAAAAATCATTCCAGAATTATGAATGGTGTTCTCTGTATTTAAGCATCAAGAACAGAGCAATAACAAGAAGCGAAAACCCAGAATCCTAAAAGTTATGAACCGACAACAGCGAAGCATTCCATGTCAGAATGTGTCGTTGAAGTTAAACTTATCTCCCCATTGATAATGACCCGTTCCTTTCTGCTTGAGGCATTACCATTGATTCTGCCAAATGAGCCATCTTGTTCGATAATAGAAGTTGCGATTGCAAAGGGACTGAATCTGGCCTCTCTGGCACAGGGAGGAGAAAAGAGAGAAGAGGAGGAGGAGGAATTCAAAGAAGAAAATGCCAAGACCGAGTCACTTACATCCGAAGGTGGTCGTTTTGGGGATGAGCTAGCAGTTACGCTCCGGCGTTGCATATTCTTCTTGCTCATGTTTTTGTTGTACTTCAATTTAATTGTAGCATCTCCTCTTCTTGATACAAAAATTAAATAACTAATTTAAGAATATTAGGGTTAATATAATTTTTTATCTTCAAATTTACTCTTATTTTAGTTTTTATTCCCCAACCTATGATTTGAAATGTGAAGAACCAAAACTAAAATGAGAATAAATTGAAAGAGAAAAGATTATATTAACGCTAAATATGATATTACTGTGGCATGCGCGAATTTCTTGGTCATTGGACGGCATGAAATGAAGGAAACTATTTACAAGATATTCATTATGTAAAGTTCTTGAATCACACCTAACCATGTATTGTATTTTTTTTAAAAAATTCTTTTGATCCTATTTACAAAAACTTTAAACTATATTAACTCTTTAAAATATAATAACTTTCTAAATTAATATCTACTCAATATATACACCTTTAAAAAATAATTATCTATATTGTAATAAATAAAGGACAAAATAATATATCCATATTAAAAACTTAATGAAGTGACGTGTAAATAGAACAGAAAAATATTTTTTCTCTACTATATAAGTAGGACCAGAAGAGTTTGACCATTTGTGATTAAAAAATTTGTCATAATATGTGTGCGTATATATATATAAGTAACCTGATGACCTAATGGTACTCAAGACCTTTTTTGAAAACTTAAAAATAAGAACTCCTACTTTTTTTTTTTTTTGGGGGCCAACAGGACTCACACATGTCATTGACCAAAAAGTCCCACAATCCATATATTACAGATCATCCATATCAAAAAGCATATCCATAATTTCTCACTAGGCGTTGCATCCATACATTTCTAAGTGACGACAACGCAAATTAATTACAAATAAGTTTAATATTTGTCTAAGTGACGTCTTTGCATAAACATGTCCTTGATCTTGTTCAATGGTGCCACAACTTGTGATATATTATGTAAACATCTTATTTTTTCCGGGCCCACTAAGTAATAAACAACAACATTAAGAATAATAGAAAATTTCTCTTTGATTCATTTTTGGAGGCCAAGTTTTAAAATCTTCCCAAAAAAAAAAGAAGAAAAATCAAGTAAGAATATCTTTTCTACCATAATGGATAATAAAAAGAGAAGATGTGGTTAATTGTTTATTGACCTCTAAAATATCTTTTCTACCATAATGGATAATAAAAAGAGAAGATGTGGTTAATTGCTGATTGACCTCTAAATTAGAAAGTATGAGGTGGACACATTAAAGAGAAAAATCAGAAAATAAAAATAAAAATAAAAATAAAAATAAAAATCTCTTGTTTAATTTGATTGGTTCCCGAATTGGAAATATTCTTTGGAGCCACAATTATGGAAACAATAAAAAGCAAAAATTAAAATGAAAAATGACAAATTAATAATGATTTGGTGCTTAAATAGGAAGTAATATTATGAGTCATAATTCAGAAAAATAAAAAATAAAAATAAAAAAGAAAATGAGAAATCCCAGCTGAAGTTTATAAATAGGAGGGTAAGGGTTGAGGAAAAACTAACAAGGTTTATGAGAGAAAAGACACCAAGTGAGAAGGCTTCATCTCAGTAGGGTCACATCATGTGTATGGTTCTTTCTTTTCTCCTTTGATGATTTTTGTGCATTCCGTGCTATTTCCTTGCTTCTTGGGTGTTTAACAAAAATGGAAGTATTCAGAAGATAGGCAATATAACGGAAGAGAATAATTTGGTTGTGAACTTATTTGTGGCTTATGACTCACCTTTTTTTAGCAAGCCATAGTTGGGGTCCTCTCTTTTTCTATTCTATTGTCTTTGATTTAATAATTTTATGATGAATTGTTTTCAGTTGATCTTTCTTCTTCCTCTTAAAAGTGTTTCTTTTTTTCAGATCTCTACCATGTGAGGTTTTAAAAACTCTACAAGTATCCTGATTTATTAGTAAACCGTGTAAAATTATGAAAGTTTTCAAGTATACGAATGGAGTTGTACAAATTTTCTTTTTAAAATAAATAAAAAAGAAGTAAAATAATTTTGGCCCAATGTTCATAAACCAAAATAAAATAAAAAGTCCTCTTTTCAATTAAAAAAATAACATATTTTCAAATTAATGTTTTCTTTAGAGCCATGTAAAGTTTTTAGAACCTTTAGAAGCTTGAACAATTATTTTTTCTGTATAAGATTGTAAGAAGCTCCGTAGGAAAATCAAAAGCTCTTTCAAAAATTTTTTTTTCCAAATACCAACAAAGGAATTGATTTTATCAATTAAAAATTACAAACCAACAATAAATATCTTTCTTAAATAAAATGAATAAATATTTTCCTAAAAGATATCAATCAAGTGACACTTATTTTTACCCCCAAATTACATGGACTTTGACTTCTCTAACAGGTACATAGGTCCTAGGTTTTTATTCTAGGTTAAGTTGGCTTTGTAAATAAATTATTTTTATTTTATTTTTTCATTTTTGTAAATAAAAAGTTTTTCTTCTTATTGTTTTTTATTTCTTTTTTAGGGTAATTAAAATATAATAAAAAGCCATATTAATTTTGAATAGCTTCATGAATGGGTGCTGCTTAATACTCCCTCCGTTCCTTATTATAAGAGACAAATAACTAAATCACGTTGATCAAAAAAACAGTTAAAATTAGTTGGGAACAATTAATATGTAAAAAGTATAATATTTTTTCCCATAATGCCCCCGTTAATAAGGAGAGAGAGTATAAGAGAGAACAATTAAATTATTAAAAGAAAGAGAAGTGAGAGGGAGAGAGAGTATGAGTTGGAGACAAAATAAATAGGGGTAAAATAGGAAATCAATACAAAAAAATAGAGACAACTTTTAAGTGTCTCTTATATATGGGAACATACCATAAGCATCAAATGTCTCTTATAATAAGGAACGGAGGGAGTACTTTTTAATGCACAATCGACTCTTGGACCCTCACAG